ACACCCGGTCAGAGCCCATACCAGGTTTGATCCCAGGTCAGGGAGCGTACAGAAGGCAACCAGTCGATGTCTCTCTCTCACATAGATGTTTCTCTTCTCTCTTTCTCTGTCCCCCTCCCTCCCTTTGTCTCTCTAAGCATGTCCTCAAGTGAGAATTTTAAAAAAAGAATAACCCTACTGAGCTCAGGAAGTAGACAGGTGACAGGAGAGTGTGCTTGGAGTGAGGAGCCCATGTGTAGGGAGGACGCAGGTCTAGCACCCCACATTCATCATGGAGTCTTGACCAACCTCACCAAGGCTTGCCAGGTATCCATCAGAACAGGGGCAGGAACAGGAAACCATTCTTTAGATAATAAGAGGATGGGTCCAGAGTTGCCATCCATGCCAGGTACTCAAAGAGAACCCATTTAGATGTGATGACAGTCACTTACTGAGCCCGCCATGTGCTGCTCCTATGCTAGGCACTTTATAGGTTTCTCTAATCCCTGCTGCAGTCCTGAAAGATTTCCACTGGGCAAGTACCACTGTTCTAGAAAACTCTCTGCCAAGATACAACAAAAGATGTAACAAACAGCCCTGCCCTTTGACTTAGTAATTCCATGTTTGAGAATTTGTGCACATGAAGTTGTTTGTTTTCATTAAATGTAACTTATAGTGAAAAGGTGGAAGTGACTTAATGTCTAATTCTAGGAACAGTGTTCAGTAAATTATGGTATATCCATCCTTTGTGGACTGTTACACAGTTTTTAAAATAATAATCACAAATATTATAGTAAAATATGGGAAATGTTAATGTAGCCAAGGAGAAAACAATAAAATACAGGCACTCTGTAATTTCAGAGATATAAAAATGTTTGTTTGGGGTAAGCCAGTATTGGAGGAGAATAGTACAATAATGAAAGTGGTTGTGTTAAGATGACGTGATCATGGGTCAGTGATTTTTTCCCCTCAGAAAAATTTCCCTTTACAATAAAAAGCCATAGGAAAGTTTCCAAAGAAAATGAGTCAGCAGCAGCAATGACTACTGAGGTATAATGAGAATAGAAATTGTTTTCAGAACACACCTGGAATTACTTAGTTACATTGAGATGTTAAGGAGATTCTAGGTTTTTTTGTGTGTGTGTTTTTCCTTCTTCCCACTTGGAATTTGTAATCAGTAAATATGCAGAGCAAAAAATGCAGTAGATTCAGGGAAGCATTTGAGGCTTTGTAAGCAAATGATGACAGTGTAAAAGGTATGTGTCTAAATTTGCATTCATACGAAACATGGAGCTGCTGTGATTTCAGAATAAATGTTTTAAATATTTTCTAAATACAGAGCTGTTGCAGCCCTAACAATACTTGGCTAAGAAATTACATTTCTATGGCAGGCCATGGTAACTCACTGGAAAATTCTTGGGCTATAAAAAAAGCCCACTTAACAGTACTGAAGAGTGAGTCCCACTTTGTCCCTTCCTGCATCTGCAGTCGTTTGTCAGGCTCCTCTTCCTCTCTCAGGATGTCATTGATTTTTATTGCAGGACAAAGGGCATGGCATGAAAACCAACATATTTGAAATTCTAGAAAATATTTTTTTCAGGTAAGAGCCTCTGTTTGTGCTGAATTATACAGAGGCTTTTGCTGTCGGTATTTATTTTCCCCTCTTTCTCACAGTTGTCGGGATGTCTTTTTCTGTGCATTAATTCATTGATTGCAATTCCAGTTCTGAAGTGCTAAGTAAAAGTCGGGGTCATTGGTCAATTGCATGATTGAAAGTAGGAGCTGGCAAAGTTGATAAGATTTGGTTAAACATTGTGGATTTGATTTTTCCTCCCTCCTATGTGTCAGGCTGTGCTTCTGGACACATTAGTAAGTGGCCATTTTCTTGGAATTCTGCACTCTTCCTGCTTCCTTTCATTACATTAGGCGAGGTTCCACTAGATGAGACATTTGTAGTCCTAAGACTTCCTGCCAGGGTTCAGACTTTGTATTTTTGACATTGAAGCTGTCGTTTTCCTGAAGCTACTTAATTAGAAACACATTCATTTCAGTGTACACTGCAAAAAACTTGGACAGCAGAGCCAGGCACACTGGGAAGTTTGAGCATTTGTGTAGCTGGCAGCTAAACTAATGGTTTACAGTTTAAGGGGGAAAATATCGTAGGGCATTTCCTTGCCCCTAGAAGCGAAGAGAAGCTGAATGCGCACAGCAGACACCTATTTTTAAAGGAGAGAAGGGAGAAAAAAGACAACTCCACTTTCACCGCAGTCGTGTGTATAATTCTTTCTCTGGCTATTGTCAAATACAAAAGTCTTCCGGAAGAATAGTTCCCAAACTGTGCTGCTAATATTCAAGTCTGTTTTACAGGCTCCCCACATATATTACTGCTGAGATCTTAGGAAGGGGGACATTTTATATTCCGGGGAATGATTTTTGCTTGAAGAATTTTATTTGTCAAATGGTAATGAGGGAATTGTGCCCTTTCTTATTTTTAAATGTTTGAGCAATTTTAAAATGCACAACTGATGTTTTAAAACCTTCATTGCCTATCCATCGCTTTCAGGATAAAAGCCTAAACTCCTTAGTATTAAATTGGAAGCAGACCTATCGTTTCTCTTATCACTCCTTGTTTCCCCAACCCTCTCCAAGAAAGCCATCCCCTACGTCTGCTCCCACTCCCCCAGCTGCCCCCAGGGGAAAGGTACCTGGCCAGGTATCGCTCCTCGGCTCATAAAATACCCTTTGCACCTTTCACGGGATGTATCACATGCTGGAGAGACATATAGGAAAGTTGCCGATTGCTCCCTTCCTTCCTGTTTCTTGACCTCCGTCACCTACCCCCAAGATAAAGGTCATGTAGGAGGGGGCCTGGGAGTTTTAGGTTTGATATCACAAAGTCTGTATGGCACAGAGGAAGAAACTTTGAAGTCAAATTCTAGGTTTGCCATTTACTTTGTTCTATGTCGTTAGATAAGTGATTTAAGCTCTCTGGGCCTGTCTCCTCCTCTAAAATGGGGATCATACCTACCTTGTATAGTCGTTCTGTGGATTAGGAAGATGAATTGGAACTTCCTCATGTAATACTCAGCACATTTATCATTGGTAAGTAACGTCATANATGAATTGGAACTTCCTCATGTAATACTCAGCACATTTATCATTGGTAAGTAACGTCGTAAATGNAGTGTACACTGCAAAAAACTTGGACAGCAGAGCCAGGCACACTGGGAAGTTTGAGCATTTGTGTAGCTGGCAGCTAAACTAATGGTTTACAGTTTAAGGGGGAAAATATCGTAGGGCATTTCCTTGCCCCTAGAAGCGAAGAGAAGCTGAATGCGCACAGCAGACACCTATTTTTAAAGGAGAGAAGGGAGAAAAAAGACAACTCCACTTTCACCGCAGTCGTGTGTATAATTCTTTCTCTGGCTATTGTCAAATACAAAAGTCTTCCGGAAGAATAGTTCCCAAACTGTGCTGCTAATATTCAAGTCTGTTTTACAGGCTCCCCACATATATTACTGCTGAGATCTTAGGAAGGGGGACATTTTATATTCCGGGGAATGATTTTTGCTTGAAGAATTTTATTTGTCAAATGGTAATGAGGGAATTGTGCCCTTTCTTATTTTTAAATGTTTGAGCAATTTTAAAATGCACAACTGATGTTTTAAAACCTTCATTGCCTATCCATCGCTTTCAGGATAAAAGCCTAAACTCCTTAGTATTAAATTGGAAGCAGACCTATCGTTTCTCTTATCACTCCTTGTTTCCCCAACCCTCTCCAAGAAAGCCATCCCCTACGTCTGCTCCCACTCCCCCAGCTGCCCCCAGGGGAAAGGTACCTGGCCAGGTATCGCTCCTCGGCTCATAAAATACCCTTTGCACCTTTCACGGGATGTATCACATGCTGGAGAGACATATAGGAAAGTTGCCGATTGCTCCCTTCCTTCCTGTTTCTTGACCTCCGTCACCTACCCCCAAGATAAAGGTCATGTAGGAGGGGGCCTGGGAGTTTTAGGTTTGATATCACAAAGTCTGTATGGCACAGAGGAAGAAACTTTGAAGTCAAATTCTAGGTTTGCCATTTACTTTGTTCTATGTCGTTAGATAAGTGATTTAAGCTCTCTGGGCCTGTCTCCTCCTCTAAAATGGGGATCATACCTACCTTGTATAGTCGTTCTGTGGATTAGGAAGATGAATTGGAACTTCCTCATGTAATACTCAGCACATTTATCATTGGTAAGTAACGTCATAAATGATAGTGTGTGCGCGCGCGCGTGTGTGTGTGTGTGTGTGTGTGTGTGTACACAGGCACACAGAATCCTGAAACCAAAGGAAGTCAATCCATAATACCCAGCTTTCAAACTTTCGGAGTTGGGTTCTCACCTCCTGCTCAGCCTCCAACCTAGAAACCCACTGCCCTGTGAATGAAGTCGTTTGAAGGGGCCTTTTGAATTGTAGTGTCATCGATGGCATGTGTGCAGCTGGGGAGAAGATGCTTGCTGGTAGCTCTCCGTGTGCTGTGCTGAATCAGAGTGGACAGTTAGATCACATGGCAGAAGGAAACAACAAATAAAAAAATCTTTCTCCAACCTTGTTAATTGCTTTTCCTGTTGTAATTGTGGCAATAATAGTTCCCATTTAAACCAGGAACTCTACCAATCACTTGATGTATATTTATTTTCTCATTCTGATAGAAACCTCTGCGAGTTTGCTTCCAAGATCCCATTTTAAAGATGAGGCAACTGAGGCCATGCAGTTGCCTGGCTGCTATTTAGGGACTAATGCGAGAGTCGGTTCTTCCCACCACCTGTGCAGCTTCTAGTGCCACCCATATTTTGAAATTCTTCTAAAGTTTCTAGACTTGGGAACGAAATGTCATATTAGGGTTTTTGTTGTGAAAGGAAATGTAACTGTGCATACGTTTATTAAAACAGTTTTTCTCCAAATAGTGAACCATCTGTAATTTTGTGTCGGAAGCAACAGACATTAAAGCAGCTGTGTGTCTCTGTTTCTCTTCACAGTGCTCCCATGCCCTACCTCATAGGAATCCATTTAAGTTTAATGGAGGTAAGTTGGTGCCTTCCCACCCCACCCCCTATCTCCCTACTTGCTGTTTTGTTTTGCTATGTGGCAGTGGAAAAGATGTGTGTGGATTCACAGCTCCCCACGTGGGAGCGTGTGGAAGCAGCACCTGTGCCCGGTGCCCTCCCAGGTGCACGCAGCTGAGCGTTGCCCTTAAGCCTTTCCACTGGCCCTGGCTTCCAGTGTTTCTCCTCTCTGCGTGGGGATCGTCAGTTTTCATGGGTGAGGGAGTGAAGTTCGAAGAGACAGGAGGAAAAAGGTCCTCAAAGATTTGAACGAGGGAAGGGAAATTATTTGCTTTTCAAAATGATGTTTAGTCTAAATCACTACAACAATGTAACATTTTTTATTGTAGAAAATGTGGTGTAAAAAGTATAAAGAGGAAAATTAAAATTATCTACAATACCATTATTCTAAATTCAACCAGTTAGCATTTTACTATTCTTCTTCCTAGTCTTTATGAGTATTTTGTATAAATGTATATAATTGATATGTGTTTTATATATAATTTTATGTTTTTATATGCCACATAATATTATGGCATGGGGATTTCTACACCTTTTTCTTTACTCTCAGTAAGAATAAATTTAACTTTGCTACCTGTCATTCTGCTGTTTGGCTGTATCACAACTTAACCATTTTCCTGTTATTGTAGGACACTTGGGTTGTTTATCGTTTCTCACAATATAAGTAGCATTTCAGTGAACATCTTTATGCATAAGGTTTTATCTGCATTCTGACTTAGTTCCTCAGCGTAGAGCCCCTAATGTAGAAACGCTTGGTAAAGCTATGACTGATGACAGATTGCTTTCTGCATGGCTGTACCAATTAGATAGCAGTTCTTTTCAAGGACTTATCTGTGCTTTTGTGAGTGCTATTGGTGTGCAGATATGAACCCTACACGCTTCTCCCTCCTCGGAGAGAGCTTAAATTTGTACTAGAGCAAAATGGGGTGGGAGGTGGGGGGCTTGCCTGTTTTGCACAGGAGCTCAGCTCTCAGAGGGAAAATCTGAAGCCATACCCGTCTGTGATGATGCTTTGCATGTCTTAAAGGAAGTGCTACTTCTCTTCTTCTGGTCCCTGCATTTCACGTCGACGAGGACCACCTGCTTCTTCGCTAACTGTTGCACACTGTGCTATTGTGCTTACGAAAATGAAACAAGTTGGTTATCGAAAAACCTGTTTGTTTGACATTGAGAATCTTGATCAAAATAGACCACAGAAATCTGCTCAAATTTCTAATTTGACAGGACGGCCATGTGGCTCCTACATTCTGTTAACAGTTCCTCCTTGTCATCACCCAGCCCTGAGCACATACAGCACACAGTTTATGGACTATCTTGGGTGGCGTATTTAGATCAGATTGAAGAGATTTCTTGGGTATTTTACCTTTGTTTGTCAAGTTTGGGGGTGTATTCAAAGCTCCTGTGTGAAAATTTTAGATTGAACACTTCCTAATAGGCCTTTGGTGCCAATTGTTACAGAGTCTGAACACTAATCTAAATACCATTTGGTCTGTTGGAGTGCACAGCTCCTTGCTGCCCCTCCTCCTGCCCACCAGACTGTGCCAGCAAGGCTGTTGCGGATCCCTCTCATTCCCTTACCTTCAGCGTAGTCCGGGTTCCTAGACCTGACCTGTTTTGCTTCTCTACGTGCCCTCTGGTCATCTCGTCAAGGCTTTTTGTTTCAGCTACCAAGGTGATGTCAGCCACTCTCAGCTGTGATTCTGACAGTAGCATGTCTCTCTCTCAACACAGGTCCAAGCGTTTCAAGTACCAGTTGAACTTCACCTAGGTTTACTACAGATGTCTCAGACTCAGAGCTCCACAAGCACACACGCACACCCTGTGAATGGTGCCACTGCATGCAGTCACCAAAGTGGGGCGCGCTGAGCAGGGTTGATTGCTCCTCTGCCTTGCTCTTTCTAAATAGTCACCAAATCTAAGTGTCTCTCGCCCTGTTCCTTCCTCACTGCCTCCATTGGCATTTTCCTTTGCTTTTCTTGAATTCTTGCAAAGCTTATTCATTTATCTGCTAAGTAAAATGAAGGCCTCTTGTGTTCCAGACATTTCGCGAGGTCCTGGAGGTATGAAGGCGAATATAAAATCCAGCCATAGTCCCAGCGTTTGTGGGTTGGCTTCTACTGGCTCACTCTACCTTTAGTGGCCTGCCCTCCAGTCTCCCTCTGCTTGCCCCCGAGTCCTGCTCAGTCTCTGCTGCTCTCAGCCTTCTGTCCCCTCACTGTCCCTTGATAGCCAGTGTGCTCACTGATCCCTAGCCATCCTCACGTTCCCATACCTCTGCTTGGCCAGGCTCTGCCCTTCGCCAGCTCTTCCAAGTCCTCCCATTTGTCATTGTCTTTCACTTACTGTCCCTCTTGCTCTGTTTGCGTCCCCATTTCTCTCTTTTCACCATCCCTTGAAGCATGAGTTCTTTGGGAACAAGGACTGTGCTTCATTTACTGTGGTGTCCTCAGCACCTGGCCAGGCACCGAGCAGGTGCTTTAGGAAAAGGGTTGAGTGAGTGCCTGGGAAACTGAATTCGGAGCACATTTAGAGCCCTCCACAGCATCACTGTTTTCAGAGAACCCAGCACCATCATTTTTCTTAAAGATGGACAGAGTGCATTGTTTTACTTTTATATGATTGTAAGTAACTTAAAACAAGGCCTGCCCTAGCCAGTTTTGCTTAGGGGTTAGAGCGTCGGCCTTGGACGGAAGGTTCTGGGTTCGATCCCGGCCAAGGGCACGTACATTGGTCACAGGCTCCATCCCTGCCCCCAGGTCAGGGTGAGTACAGGAGGCCACCAATTGATGTGTCTCTCTCCCCTCTCACACCGATGTCTCTCCCTCTCCCTCTCCCTCATTCCCCCCACCCCCCCGAAAAGCAAAGGAAAAAATGTCCTTGGGTGTGAGGATCAAAACCAAAACAAGGCCTTTTGTTAATAAAACATTTCGGTGCAAAATATGAGTAAATTTTTAAGCTAAAACTTGTGACAGAGTTTTGCACTTAGGTGAGTGGGTGCAAGTCTGCTCTGCTCAGCCTTCGAAAGGCCTTAAGGTGAGAAGATTCGGGAAGCACCGGCCAAGACAAATCTTAGTCTTAGTTGTATCCATTAGCTAGAGCAGGGAGGAGCTTGCATGCTGAGCTCCTGTGTGGTCAGCACTGAAAGAAGAATAGCAGTCGGCCCACTTGAAGCCAGCTGGGCACTCTCAACAAAACAGCATTTCCAGGGCGTGCCGGGCAGCCGTGAGCTATCAGTCTTGGAATTTAGCCCTGATCTCCTCCCGGGGATTTAACTCAGACTTGGAGCCCTCTAGTCATGCTTTTGATTGGGTTTATGTGGTTCTGTTACACCCTTCAGACGAGAGAGGTGCTTCCCGTGAGATGTCTTCCAGGAACTATGGGCTGTAATCCTGGGGCAGGAGCTTGCACCTGGGGCCAAAGGCGAGCTCTTGAAGGAAGGAGCTCGGGAAGCCCATCTCTTCCCCATGTTAGTTTCTCACTGGCAATTCAGCAAAAGGCTTATTTTTGACTGTCTTGTTATTTTTTCTTGAAAGCTATAGGCACCTTATTATGCCTTTGCATATGTGCCAGAATTTTTTAAACTTCAAATGAATGTGGCAGATGTTCATAAAAGTTTAGAAAAAGCTACCATAGGAAGACTTTTTAACCATTTTTATGACACTCAAATTTGTTGCACAAAAAGAAATATAAGTTATAACCTAGTGTTCTCAATTGGGAAAAGGTTATTTTGGGGAAAGACCTAATTCTAGTCTTCATGCTCTTACAGGATGCCCTTGCCGTTTGTTAAATGGTAACCTAGTCACCTTAAAGAGTCTGCCTTCCTTCTAGAGAAACATGTATATAGCTCCTCCTCATTCTTACCCCCTTCTGCCTCTTTATATCGCTCTCTCAGTTAAGCAAACGTTAATTCGAGTCTAGTGGTAAGTTAGCGGGATAGCCAAGGGAATTGGCATAGACCTAGCTTCTTCTTGGAGAGCGTGCATGTTAGCTGGCAGCTAGGAAATACCAAGACGTGGCCAGATTACACAGTGACTGTTTCCTTTTATTCTCTGACCCCGGTTTAGTTCAGGAATATTGCTGTAGCCCCTCTTCTGAGCCATGTCTGGGAGCAGGTGCCAGGTCATGTCTGGCAGCAGGTGCTTCTTTTTGATAAATGAAGACCTTCCTTTCTAAGCCTCACAAACAATGCTTGGTGTACAGCCTCCACGTGACATCAGCGTATTTTATATTGTTCATGGTGGCACAGTGGTCAGGAAGGAGGATGGAGAGATGGTAACAATGACACGGTTCCAGACAGAGGCTCAGGTTAGCCTGGAAAGGAAGATCCACCCAGGCCCGAGGGGCAGCAGGCGGGCTTGGGATTCTGGCTCCCCTCCTTCCTGCTTGTGTGACCTGAGGTGGTAATTCACTCCGAGCTTCCTTTTTACTGCAAAGCAAGGGCAATGGCTATACCTCCTGTATGGGGTTGTCGGAGGATACAGGGAGATGATGGTTATAGGGTGCCTAGCACAGTGCCTGGCACCTAAAGAATCCAACAAAGACCAATAGCCAACAGTTTTTATTTTGTCAGTGGCCTTAAAGCCGTTTACGTTAAGTTGATGGCTTTAAAATAGTGTTTCAGGGACACTATTTTAGGTTCCAAGGATCATCACTCTCATTCTCATTTTCTAGGGAAACAGAGTTTCAACAAAATTGTTGTGTGTGTGTGTGTGTGTCCGTTCTCCCCTGGTCTGCAGTGCTGGAGGCATTGTACCAGGGATGGGAGCGGCACGCCTGTGGAATTTGATAAATGCACTAACAGCCCCCTACTTGAACTCTGCCAGCTGTAGTCACTCAAGGCATGGTATGTTGTCTCTGTATCTTGGTTTCTCCATCGGTACCAGCGGGCAGTACCCAGCTCTTAGCCTGTGGTGAGGATTCCGTAAATGAGTCCTGTACACGTCCGGCACAGCCCAGCGT